AAATGCCAATATGACTCTAGGTGGCTTACATCAAATAAGAGCAATAAGAAAAACTCCCCTTTCCCCAATTAAAAAAAAAAAAAGTAAAATCCCATGGCTCTAGATAAACACACTTCCTCTAACAAAAACATTGTCTACAACCACCCTACCCTGCATAGATAATGCATGAAAAGCAAATCTGAGTCACAAATGGACAATGCAATCTTTTACAAACCAGAGGTTGTACTTACATCTCTCCCCATGTGTGTTAGGCAACATCAGATAATAATTCTAGTAGGCAGGGAAGATTTTACAGGTTTTGGAGGGACTTATCTAGGAAGTATCTATATTTTTAGCCTATGCTTAAGCAATAGAGTTACATAATTTCACATCAAAAAACAAAATAAAGCCATGTCACTAAGATTTTCTTTGCCACTAAATTCTGAGAATGCAGTTACAGAATGGAAGTCACAAAATGAAGTTTCCTGGACTATAGTTTGTTGAGGACTTCAGACTTTCTACCTTCAATCTCATAAATCTCATGAACAAAATATGAATTCTATAGAAAAAAAAGTATTATCTGACATTAACAGTACAACTCTCTAGTTCTTTCTTTGTGCCGATCCTGATTGGTCATTTTGGTGATGTTGCTTCCTGATGGTCCTGATGGCTCAGACTGATGAAGATGCCAGCCATAGTTGCTGACAAAATATCAGGAAATCTACTGTCTAGATCATAATCATTAAACCCTGAAGCTCAACACTGCCCAACAGATATCAGTCATGAAAGTCTATACCAGTATAACAATAACATTGATTATGACAATAATTAAACACATATTCTTTTCCATACTTTTTGTGTCCTCAGACTTCCATCTGAAAACTAAAGGAAAATTAGTGGGACAAAAGATCCGCAAGCATGCCAGATTAATGTGGGGGTTTCTTAATAGTTAAAGTCAGTTAACTGGATATCAGTTGAATGAATGAAGTAGTATCCTTTGTTATAATCTGAAAGCTGTAGAAGTGGATAGAGTCTCAGCTGTCTGAATTCTGCTACCTTTCCTGATGAAGCCTTGCCTTACAGAGCTGGCTTCTCAGTGGAACTGATTGATTTACTTTCCATTTTTTCTCTCTCTCTCCTATTTCATCCCGAAATTTATATACTATATATAAGTATTAAGTTTAGGCTTAATTTTCTGTTTCTGCCAGGAAATCTTCCAGCTGAAATAGGGTTAATTCAGTATTTTTGTAAATTCTGTTCCTAAGGATGAGGATTACATCATGAGTTTGTCAAGTACTCCATGAAATGCTATTAGTCTGTCTTCTAGACCAACACTGTATACTTAGATTACTTTTAAAAATAATAACAATGTTATTTTTGCAGTTCAATAGGCATGATAATAAACCAATACAATGCCATTTGCCATTTTTGATACATTTTTATATATTTAATTGCCTATACCATTTTTGCCAGTTTTACCTTGTCACAATATATTTTGAATTGAATCCCCATATTTCACTACTGAATAGTGAAAAAAGACAAATGTTAATTGGTCAAAAATCATTTTCATGATTCCATGCCAGGCTCTGTGCATGACATTATTGTACAGAGAAGACATTAGAAGTCTCATAATATTAGTCAGGGAATAATGAATTTTGGGTGGCTACTGATAAGCAGTTGCATGAAATAGAATTTTGTATTAAACACACTACTTCTAATATATAAATCAACAGCCCAAACTGTAATCACTTTGTTATATCGCTTGTCTTACTAGAGACTTAGTCATAAAATGGAATTATTATACTGACATCACAGGTAATTTCATGACATAATTATGAGTATATAAGAAAATTTGTGCAATCTTTAAAAATTAAATTCCTATGAAAGGTACCAAATTAATGGTTCTGATTTAAAGTCTTCAGTTAAAACTCCAGCCGAAGCATGACCAGTGATGCATAGACTTCTTAAAAATAACCATGTAAGCATCACTTGCTGTAACTGCAATAGAAGACTGTTAACCATTATGAACAGTGAAATCTTTGCCAATTCAATCGTGGACTGAAAATGTTTTAAGATGATCCATGAAGGGCTCAACTTATGTTCACCTATAGGTGAGAGATAACATTCTCAGAAGCAGTGCAAATCAATACATATTTTACAAGGTTCTGGAATGCCAGACAGCAGTAAAAACATTGGCTCACAAATGTCCTACCTCAAATACTAAAAGGTCATTTTCTGGAAAAGTTAAACTACTGTTATGTTTTGCTGGTTTCCAATCAATCAATACAGTACGTCATTACTTTATACAGTTATTGAGTTAAAAAGTATACATGAGTGGTTCCCAAACTCTTTATTGTTTATTAACTTATTAATTCTCAGAGCTCTATTTTTGTGAAAATTATCAGTTTCAAAATAACATATTTTAATAATATGTTAACTCTCAGCAATGCTCTAAGAAATAAAGTACTACATTAAACGAAAGGCTTAAACCTGAAAGAAAAGGGGAAATGCTAAAATTGTTTGCATCCACAAAATTAATAATTTTGTAATTTTATCCTTCATAATAAAATTCTTCTAGTAGTCATCCAAATACCATTGGTCTCACATCCATATTTTAAAGCATATTTTCCTTGGAAAATACCCAGACTCAAAAGAGATAATTAACTATGTTAACTCATTGCCTTGAAATGTGTTGGGTCTGAAGAAGAGGTCACCCAGTGTTAACACAGTCAAACCTCCTTAAGTAAGGCAGTAAAGGGGTAATTTATGTGCTAAAGTGTACAGCTAAGAAAAAGGACAATGAAAATAAAATGTGCTTTAATTTTTTTTTTTAATCCACACTCAATTGTTACCGATTCTGCAGTGACTGCCTGGACGAGTCCTTGCAGTTTTTCAAGGCAAGGTGTTTCAGAAGTGGCTTGCCATTGCCTCCTTCCTAGAGCAGAGCCCAGCTGGCGAGCGCAGGAGGCGGGGTTTCCGTTGCTTTGCACCTTTTTCAGGCGTGCGCGGCTTCCGCGCTACTGGCAACTGCTCCCGTCTCCTTTCACAAGGCGCCTCCAGCATTTTTCCTCCCACCGGAGTGAGAGTACCCATTTATCTACTCACGTAAGTTTTCAAGCTGCTGGGTTGGCAGGAACTGGGGAGGAAGCAGGACCTCGCTCTGCTGCATGAAGCTGGGCTCGAACCTGAAGTGTCGACCATTTCTGGCCAGCAACTTTCAGTGTCATTAAGCTGCTGTGCCACCGTTGCCTCTGCTTTAACTTTAGAAAATAATGAAGATGTGTGTACAATCATTTGTTTTTAAATAATTATTATATTAAGTATTATATTACTTGTTATTAAGATCATACAGACAGAACATGGGAAAACAGGAAAAAAGGTAAAAGGACCAAGACACAAATCAAAATCTTAAATATCAATGGACTTAATCCTTAGAATAACAAGATACTCTTTTGAATTCCAGCAATCCAATCAAATTTTGAAATGTATTTATAACATCTCTTGTCCTTACTTCATTCCAATTCATTCAGTTATGAGTAATTTCAGGAAGTCTGATCCTTCCTCTTTTTTTCCTAAAGAGGAATTCTCAGGTTCCATCTCTGGCTACTAATGGATAAAAATCTTTGCTTTCATCGACTTAGAGGCATTTCAGATTCTTCCAGCTCTAGTTCATAGAGTGATTTATCAGTATCTTGCTCAGATGTTCTTAAATTAGGTACTTATGTTTCATGAACTGCCTCCTTTTCCAATTCAGCTTAATTCTGGATGCAGCTGTTATTATCAACTGTTCTTTGAAACAGTGATAAATGCTGAATAGCTTTCTCTTTCGTGTCCAAATCATGTATATTATTGAGATTTCTGACAAGTATGATTTGTTAAAATTAATAATTATGTCATTTTGATTGATTCATGCATTGATTATATATTTCAGCTACATCCAGAAAATTGTCCTTTAGCATTCCCTATAAGTCCTTAGATGGATGCTTTTAATGCTTGATATCCAGTTAACTGTACGTTTTCTGACCTATATCCATATAGTTAATTTCTGGGATCACTTCTTCTATTGTTCTGTATAAAGGTACTTTCAGAACATAAGGGATGATGCATTAACATCTGAAGACATAATCCTAAATATTTATGAAATTTACTTTGAATTAAAATGAGGATTGAATAAATATATAAATAGCAGTAAATAATTACTATCATGAAATGAATAAAATGATGTGAGTCATTGAAGCTGTTTATTTCTCCTAAATTATGCAAGTTGTTTTGTTTAAAATAAACAGAATCTCATTGGAAATATATGCCTCAAAAACACTGTCCCATTTCCCTCTATTTATATGGTAAACATATTCTTGAATTAAACTTGAAAGCAGTTTTTGAAATCTTTTATTCTCCTTGAATTAAAGCATAATTGTAGAGAAGCTATATATTTTATTAACAGTTTGGTAATTTTTTTTGTGTATTGGCATTGATTTTTTTTAAAACACATCTCATGTCTGTCTGTCTGTCTGTCTGTCTGTCTGTCTGTCTGTCTGTCTATCTATCTATCTATCTATCTATCTATCTATCTATCTATCTATCTGAGGTGAACATACCTAATACTCCTACCTCCTATTTTTTCACACCAATCCCATGAGAGAGAATGACTGACTCAAAGTCACCCAGCCAGCTTTCATGCCTAAGGAAGGCCTAAAACTTACAGACTCCTGGTTTCTAGGCAAGCACCTTAACCACAATACCAAACTGGCTCTATGTTCATTTCTTAAAGATTATAACCCTGAAGCATAACTTACCTTTGTAACTTGATCATTACAGATATGATAGTGCAGGCAGAATATTTTCCCTGATCATACTGATTTCATATGGTTTTATGGCTACCATTTTATATGGTTTAAGCAAGTGAATTCATGTATCCCTAAACTAGAGTATAGACATGTGAGAATGTATGCTTCCTGTATAAACCTTTAAGTTTCTATACAATATAATTTTTTTATTTTTTATTCTTCTGTTTCATCTAGATTTGGATTTATTCTTCACAAGGATGAGCCTATACTCCAGAAAATTGATCTTGAAACAATGTCATACATCAAGACAATTAGTTTAAAGGATTACAACTGTGTTCCAAAGACTCTGGCATATACACATCTTGGAGGATATTATTTTGTCAACTGTAAGCCTGACACTACTGGAGCTATTCCCCCACAAATAATAATAGATAGTGTTACTGACTCAGTTATCGGATATAATGGTGATGTAACAGGATCTCCATATATTTCTCCAGATGGTCACTATATAGTCAGCATTGATGAAGTGAAAGGTCTCATGAGGGTCCAGACAATTACACTAAGAGGAGAAATACAAGATGCCTTTGACATTCACACAAACTTGCACATATCTGATGTAGCTTTTCAAGCATCATTTACTGAAGCCCATCAATATAATGTCTTTGGTAGTTCCAGTACACAGACTGATGTCCTTTTTGTAGAACTGTCCTCTGGGAAGGTGAAGATGGTGAAGAATCTTAAGGAACCTCTTAAACCAGATGAATGGCCTTGGAACAATAAGAACCGATTAATTGAGGGCAGTGGGCTCTTTGGTCAGTACCTGATGACACCTTCCAAGGAATCCTTGTTTATTTTAGATGGACGACTGAATAAGCTTAATTGTGAAATCACTGAAGTTGAGAGAGGAAACACAGTAATTTGGGTTGGAGAAGCATAAGGAACCATATTAGATAACACCCAAGTGGATAGTTTTACAGTACATTGCACTTATCTTCATACTCCAAATTGTCATTATTTTATAAAAAAAAAAAAAATGTTAGACCCTTCTATACATGTTGTGTGGTTGACTGAAATGGAATTTTGATGAAATAAAATGCTGAAATTGTGAGAAAATTGTGAGAAAACATACTATGTACTGTTGGTAACCTCCATAGGGCAGAGTGGCTAATTTTTGACAATATTAAATTATGATAAACACATTGGGTAAATGACAAAATGATGCCACATTATAACAACAGCAACAACAACAACAACAATAATACTTAATCAGATCCATTGAATTGTTAATATTACACACCATGTGCATAATTAGGTTTTTCCATTAAAACACTATGGCCTGTCCCGACCACTATTTAATATTTTTGTGCCTTGAAGGGAAATGTCTCATAAGGAAAGAGAAGCCTACAAAACATGTAATTGTATTCTTGTTGTGGTTATAAGTTCTCTTTATCCTGTGAAAAGTTTTTGATATCTCAAAGTTTTTCATCACCATCAGATGGTAAGGCATGGTTTTAAGTCAAAGGAAAAAGTATATTTGAAACATCTTGTGCTATCATTTTTAATACTACAGTTTGAAGGTATAGTTATTTTTATTACAGTTTAACGTTAGAATTTTGTTAGCTGTTCCTATATTTTAATCCTCACTTTTCCACCTGTAAAACAGTTATATAACATGGTATAGTTTAGTTGTGTTGAACAGAAACACAATATCTACCTTCTTAGAAGAATATGTTTATTTTTAAACCAATACTAAACTTTATTTAAATTGGCAAAAATGTGTTCTTTTTTTTTTTAAAAAAATAAACAATGTTTTACTAGAAGTTCATTTTAAAACAATCTGCTTAATAATAGATTTTACACAGTAATCCTATATATGTCTATTTAGAAGTAAGTTCTACTGAATTCAAAGGGATTTGTCCTACATAAGCAAAGAACTCCAGCCTTTTAAAATGAAGAATAATTGTACTATGTCTACAAAATCACACTGAGTACAATTTTTCTAGTTGTGTATAAGATTGCACGTTCCAAGTCCCTTACTGGAAGTACAGTCCACTGAAGTTAATAAAACTCATGGCTAATAAATGTTTTTGGATCCTCTTGCTAGATATTACATGTACAATATCTGAAATATATGGCTTTTGTCAATACTTTTGATAAAAGTCAGTACTTTTCTAGCTTATTACTGCCATTAGCTTACTATATCAAGGTATTGTGGGTTTGTTTGTTTTTTTAGTTTATAAACTGCCACTTTAGCAAAGAGTATTGTTTATATGTTCATAGAAATGATTAAGGTTCTAAAATTTAGAATCGTTGTAACCTCTAAAAAAGGAGAAAATATGTGTGCTCAGTAGTAAGTTTTTTCTTCAGATTTTCAGGAAAGTCATAGATGGGTTTGACTATTGTTATAATTTTAAAAACTGGGTTTCTGTACCTGCAACTATTAAACTGATCTTTCTTTATTCAATGCAATCAAACATTACTCCAGTGTGTAAAGCTAATTAGGAATTTGAAATTTTCTAGCATTGTATTTTCTTGTGTGTCATTAGTATCCTGGACTGTGAAAGAGTAGACTTCTCTTTAGATTAAGAAAACTGGCAGATTTAACTGAAAAACAAAAATTACTTTAAATTTCTCACTTCTGGATCCTTTTAACAATTTTCCCCATTGTGATAAATAACAGTAATTACTACAAAATAAAAGACTCTGTGAACAGCCTGTTATTCTATGATTTAGAGTAGTTCATCTCTTCTACATTTTTCTGATCTATCCTACACTATGTGAATGTTCTGTATGTAGAAAATGCTTGATGAAAGGAGAATAAACCTCTTACATTTTAAATACTGTTGTTTCAGTTGATATATCAACAAAGAGAATGTTAGACTGTTTCTGAAAGAGGTTTTTAATAAGAACTCCTTATATGGAGGAAATGGATAGTATGCCTGTCAAGTAAGTTACCTTTTTTTCCAATGACATCTATGTAGCAAACACCTCTTTTTATTGGATTAGGAGCTTATTTCAGGTGGGATTATAGTGAATGTAATTTATTTTAAACAAAGATATCTATGATATTTTGAAAAGCAAATTATTTACATCTATACTATTAGGTATTATTATATGAATTCGCTACTAGTTGAAAAACAGTCCTTACCATACTTAGTAGCTCCATATTTATCTAGACTAAAATGAGGAGATGGAAAAAAGAAATTGAGGTATACCACCTTCTTGGTGGCCACTGTTTATTTCCCCACAATGAATTAAAGCAAAACTCTAATACAGTCCTAGAAGTAACATTAATGACATTCTTTTACACTGTTATATGTCAGAGTTTCTCTAATTATAAAGAAGTCTTCAAATATATAGCTCTATATTGTAGAAAAAAATAAAAACATTTTTCTCTACTGTTCCAAAGTGCACACTTAGATCTGGCTAAAAGTTCAGAAGAAATAACCCAGATGAATATCCAGAAAAGAGCTGGTAACGGTTGATAATGGTTAGTGCTTTGCCCTGTTTTTTTCAAGAAGCAGGTATTTGGCTTGGTGTACTCAACCCTATGATTCCACCAGTTAGTAACAAATATTGTGAATAAATATTTTTGAATAGTTTTTGATTGAAAACACATAAGTCAACAGTGCAAAATAACTGCAAAAAAGAACAAATGCATTTTAGGCTATATCAACAGAAGTATAGTTTTAAAATCATAGGAAATAACAGTACCTCCTTACTTTGTGATAGTCAAACTCTCTCAAGTGTTTTGTCCAATTCTAATATTTTAAAAAGTATTCTTACAAATTGGAACAAATTCAGACAGATTCACTGGTGAAAATTAGAGGACTATAAACTATGCCCTATAAAGAGAGATGAAAGGTATTAGAAATATTTAGAGAGGAATGAGAAGAAATATGATAGCACTTCTGAGATACCTGATAGGATGTCACACTGAAGAAGTTCAAGATCTATTCTCCATCATTCCAAAGGACCAAAACAGAATGCTTGATCTTCAGTATAGAAAGGTGAATTTGAACTGAATGCTGTAAAGAAGACTTCCTAACAGTAAGAGAAGTTTGAAATAGAAACAATTCTCCAAAGAAATGGTGGGTTCCCTGTCACAAGATGAGTTCAAATGGAAGTAGACAGCTATCTGTAATAATTTAATTTGGATTCCTGCACTGGACAAGGGATTAGACTTGAAAATTTAAACCTGTTCTAAATCTATGATTCTATCAATATATATCAGCACCATTTTCTATAGCAATAGTAGCTGTCTAAAAGTTTTTTTCACATGACAATTGAACATTATGAGATTATAGGCTTATAAATGCTAACCATAATTCCAGAATGACAATAATGTCTCATCCCTTTGATCTATCTGAGCAATCCAACATATTCGATATATGGAGGGAAGAACTATAGCTAGACTGCTTGGTTGACTTTCAGTTAAGAAGAATGTAAACTTCATTGTACTATTCTAATGTCCATCCTCCTTTTGCTTTAGAACAATTTAAAATTTAAATAAGATAATTTAAATTTGCTAGAGTTTGATTTTTTAAAAAGAAAGATCAGAAAGGTTATTTTCAGAACAGTAATTAACATTTACCGCGGTATTTTTTAATTGCAAAAAATGATATCCCTTTCTATGCAAAAGCTCTGGAAGGTTCACAGATCTTATAACAACCTAAAAATACAAACCAGAGGGGAAATAAATGTCCAGGAAAAGTGTGAAAAGAAGGAATTTTAATTGGAGCATAGAAGTTGTTTTCTTGTAGAAAAACAAAAAAACACAGCCCCACAAAAGAGGAGTAGAGAAATAGATATTAATATGTGAGCAAGGAGACCTGTCTCCGGGGAGGGGAATAAGGGAGTTTTGACAGGGTAATAGTTAATAAAACTGTTTGCAATTGTGTAAGAAAACAGTCTGCAGTTTGTATTTTTTTTTTCCTTCACCTTTGATTTTTTTTTTCTCCAGGAGGAGACAGAGAGTACTGTTTGTACCTGGATGGAGGCATTCATGGCACTGATTTAACTGGGAAACAGACCAGAACAGGGAAGGAAAAGCTCTGACAGATGACCTGTCATCCCATTTCCCAAACAACCAAGGAGGAGCATTCCTGTACCCCTGAAAGCTTGGAGTAAGGGGCACTACATAAAGTTACCCAACAAGTTACCCCATCTGGTTCCTGAGCATTACTCCTTTCTAAATACTTGCAGACATGCCACTTGACTCTCCATTCAGATGTACACATTTATTGATAGTCATAGTTCATGCAACAATCTAAAAATATAGTTTACTAATATGGACTTAAAATAAATTAAAATCAAAATTGGGTTGAAAATTAAAATTAATAATTGGTTAAGATGGGTTTAAACCATAACTGCTGGTAGTTTTTTTTCCCCATCTTTCACCACCTTCCTAAATGCTAATAGTGTGGGGGCTGTGCACGCTTTGAGTTGCAAAGCATTCCATAGAGATGAGACAGAACTAAAAGGCTTGCCTCTGGATTCCCACACCAATTTCAAGCAGGGGATCAAAAGGATGCCCTCCCTGACTGAATGTATAGATTCTGTTTAGAGAAGTGAGTCCCAAAGGTAACAGGCAATCAAGCCACATAGGGCTTTATAGATCAAAAGTAGAATTTTGAATTGTAACAGAAAACTTACTAGTAACTAATGTAGCATGCACAATATAGGTGTTACAGTGCTGAAGTAGCTCTCACATGTCAGGAAGCAATGTGTATAGAACGCCACATTCTATACAAAATGAAGATTTTTTGAAAATTGAAGATTTTTTAAAACAGCCCCAAGTGAAGTGCACTGCAGTAGTCTAGTCTGAAATGATAAGGACATGAGTTATTGTTGCTAGCCTTTCATTCCACAACTAATACACTACATGATTCTGGGCATGTGGTCCTACCTAGAGGTCAAATTGTAGAGGTGATTCTT